AACGTTCTCTTTAAAAAGAAATGTCAATGCCGCTTTCAGCAATATTCAAGCAATATCACGGTGGGGGACACCAAAAATGGGCTTCTTCACTCATATTGTACTCATGTGGGGAATCGAACCTGGCCGTCTTTGATGTGAAGAGTGAATGCTTTAACCACTAGGCTACCCCACCACCCCTTGCAGATCTGTGAGACGTCAGGAGCCATTACATGACTAACAACAAGTTGCAGTCTGTGTTTCTTACTTGTTTATTTACCTGTTTACCTGTTTACCTGTCTGTCAGTCTGTATGTAAATGTACATATATGTCTGTCAGTGACAGAAACTAACATTTCCCTGCACTAGTCCTTATGATGATAACACAGGAAATTACCTACTGGGCAGATTGGCACCGACTACAAGACTAGTGCCAGTTTCTATGGTTGTCTGTCTGTTAGTCAATCTGTCTGGATGCACTCAAAGACTTGACGAGCACTAAAGCAACTTCAAACTGACAACAGTGTTATGCTTTGACGATAATACAAGATATTTTTGGCAACAAGTATACATTTCCCGCTATCAGCTTGTCTGTACTAGTACTGGTTATGGCGTAGTTTGCTTTACTTTTCCAGACAATGGGGGGGGGGGGGGGGGGAGGAGGAGAGAGAGAGGTGGAGTGGAGGGGGGACCCACTTTGGAACATTCCAAGTCCGCCAACTCCAGGTGACGATGCGTAGGCTCAATGAGCAGACGCAAGCATGTCAAAATAAACATATTTGATGTCTGCGCCAAAACATGCAGCATACATCAGTTCCAGAGCTATTTGGCATACTGTTTTCATTTATTTATAAATCGTCTTCCAAAAACATCAGGAAAAACATAAATTTATTTGATTTACATCAATACAGAACTACATATGTCTTCAGAGATAGAGTTTCCAATTGGAGATGACATGACAACATTTGTCATCACAGATGACATGACACAACTTTTCTGATCTTAGAGACACTGTTACCATTTGCACATGACATGACAACATTTGTCATCTCAGAGGCCATCATCATTCAAACATGACATGACACAGTTTTTCTAATCACAGAAACATAATAAGTGATGAAAACCTTCACCATCATAAGCTCCATTTTTTCTCAACCAAACATTCTCACAGTTGTGCATCCATTAATATCCTTTATCCCAACACAATTCCAGCTGCTAAAGAAGCGACACTGCTTCCTGTTGCGGCTATGACTCAATGACGCTCTGCACGGTTGATCCCACTCAACCAATGATGCCTCAACCCACCACGGTTCATCATCAATCATCTCTTGTTGACAAAAAAACAGCAGCAGCTTTAAATCAGAGTTTACTTTTGAAGTTTCATTGGATGGCTTGGGAATACACCGGGCCCTGAATTCCTCGTGGACAACCTTCTTCTGCAGCATGCGACTTGGAAACAGCTCAAGGAGAAACGGAAAATAGAAATGAGACATGTTCCGAAGGAATTATACCGTTTTTATAGTTCATCATAACGTGTGAAGAAGGAAGCTATAGCTCATATTGACGTAGCCACAGGGAATGCTGGGATTGCCAAAGAAAATATCCGCGACATGTGATAGAGCCGTACCAGCCAAACCCTCATCCTTGCTTCCAAAAGGTAATCTAGGCTTTTATCCTCCAGCAAGTGATTGAAAATGTTTCTGTAAATTGAATAAGACTAAATGTTTTTGCTCCATTAGCATGTATAAATGTGCTCTCTCGTTTTTTCTCTCGTCAGTGTTTGGATTGGACGATATCCAGAGCCTTGATTAGATATGCCTTTTTTATGATGTTAACTGGTCAAAACATTTTTTCACATTCCTGCAATCACCATTCAATGCCTGCGTATAGCAACAATCCAATCTTTCCTGATAACTGTTGTGTGGGTTTCTCTGTAAATCCAGGAGATGGTGAATTCAGAATATGCAGGATCGCCATACATAACTATTTCAGTTATGTCAATAGATGAACAATCACCGCCTGCCTGGGCCAGACTATGGGTGGTGTGTTTTCAGAAATAGGAGCATTAATAAACATATCACTCCTAACTAGAATGCCATGGGATGCCAAAGAAACCGGCATGTCGGAGATAATGTACCTGTGGGAGGCGCACAAGCAGCCACCATGGTGGTTAATGTAAGGCAAACGACACATTTACTTTTAGCGCGGTGTCAGATTTTCATCAGAAATTATCATAACCTTCATACAGCCTTCATAGTCAAACCAGTTCCAACAGCCTTCATAGTCAAACCAGTTCCAACAGCCTTCATAGTCAAACCAGCTCCAACAGCCTTCATAGTCAAACCAGCTCCAACAGCCGCATAGTCAAACCAGCTCCAACAGCCTTCACAGTCAAGCCAGCTTCTACAGCCTGCATAATCAAACCAGTTCTAACTGCCCACATAGTCAAACCAGTTCCTACAGCCTGCATTGTCAAACCAGTTCTAACTGCCCACATAGTCAAACAGCTCCAACAGCCTGCATTGTCAAACCAGTTCTAACTGCCTGCATAGTCAAACCAGTTCCTACAGTCTGTATTGTCAAACCAGTTCTAACTGCCCGCATAGTCAAACCAGCTCCAACAGCCTGCATTGTCATACCAGTTCTAACTGCCCGCATTGTCAAACCAGTTCTAACTGCCTGCATAGTCAAACCAGTTCCTAGTCTGTATTGTCAAACCAGTTCTAACTGCCTGCATTGTCATACCAGTTCTAACAGCCAGCATAGTCAAACCAGTTCTAACTGCCTGCATAGTCAAACCAGCTCCAACAGCCTGCATAGTCAAACCAGCTCCAACAGCCTGCATTGTCAAACCAGTTCTAACTGCCTGCATAGTCAAACCAGTTCCTACAGTCTGTATTGTCAAACCAGTTCTAACTGCCCACATAGTCAAACCAGCTCCAACAGCCTGCATTGTCAAACCAGTTCTAACTGCCTGCATAGTCGAACCAGCTCCAACAGCCTGCATAGTCAAACCAGCTCCAACAGCCTGCATTGTCAAACCAGTTCTAACTGCCTGCATAGTCAAACCAGTTCCTACAGTCTGTATTGTCAAACCAGTTCTAACTGCCCACATAGTCAAACCAGCTCCAACAGCCTGCATTGTCAAACCAGTTCTAACTGCCCGCATAGTCAAACCAGCTCCAACAGCCTGCATTGTCATACCAGTTCTAACTGCCCGCATAGTCAAACCAGCTCCAACACCCGGCATTGTCATACCAGCTCTTACAGCCTTCATAGTCAAACCAGCTCCTACAGCCTGCATCGTCAAACCAGCTCCAACAGCCTGCATCGTCAAACCAGCTCCAACAGCCTGCATAGTCAAACCAGCTCCAGCAGCCTGCATAGTCAAACCAGTTCCAACAGCCTTCATAGTCAAACCAGCTCCAACAGCCTGCATAGTCAAACCAGCTCCAACAGCCTTCATAGTCAAACCAGCTCCAACAGCCTTCATAGTCAAACCAGCTCCAACAGCCTTCATAGTCAAACCATTTCCAACAGCCTTCATAGTCAAACCAGCTCCAACAGCCCTTATGGTCAAACCAGCTCTAAAGTATGCAGAATTCATCTGGACTGCCAGGCTCTGCTATGGCAGTCTATCTCTCACACCTCAGAGAATGAATTAAAACAGAATCCAACTCAAGTCTAGAATGATTTGGCAAGTCTAGATTGCGGCAGCTCCTGAAATTAATCATTGTTCTGTGCTCTTTTGAATTTTATTTCAAATATTTTGTAGATATAGATTTTAAATAAGGTAACTTTACTTCTGAGACTAAATGTCTGTCTCGCCATGTTATACCAAGGTCTGCCATGTTATACCATGGTCTGCTGTTATACCAGGGTCTGCCATGTTATACCATGGTCTGCTATTTGATACCATGGTCTGCTATTTGATACCATGGTCTGCTGTTATACCATGGTCTGCTCTGTTATAATGAGAACTTTGCACCAAGTGTAAAATACGCCTCCAGCACACAGCCCCACATCCCAGAGTGTCAGGCCGACAACCAGTTACCCAGCTCCCATCTAGTGCCAGGTGCTCAAGACCACATGCCATAATAGGTTGTGCAGACAGTAGTATATCCATTGTGTGATGTCTACAGAGAGCATGTTTCAATGAGCTAATCCTTTAAAATGTCAGTACAGATATCTCTCTACTTGAACTGTTTCAGCTACCTGTTGTTGTTCACAAGTTGTAGGAAAACTGTACAGGTCTTCCACTTACCTTGGCGTGAGGATGTGAAGCGTGACCATCACACCACACTGTGTATGTCATAAACATAAATGCTGGCCACACCGATGGCATCTTTGCGAAGTTATACAGAAAGTTATTTATTATCCAAAACTGGCTTCCACAAGAGATATTGCCTGGGTGGGATAAGGTGATATTTCCTAACTACAATATTTCCTTACTCCAATGAAATTGAATCGCAATGCTTTTCAGAACACCATGACATCACAATGAAATGACATCACTTATCTCTATGCCACTGAAGCGTGCTACTGCGACACTTATTACTGTTTAAAAACTGAAAAAGATGAAAGAATGATTTTGGATGATAAAGGTTATCTCACCCTCCAGTCTTTTGACATCAAATATATAAACAGTTTTCGATAAAAGTAAAAAACTCGTCTCCTATTTTTAAACTGTTATTGACTTGGGTTGGCTCAGTTTATATCAAGACACTCAGGTGAATGGTCAATATATGTGTAGTTGTACAGAAAGTAATATATGTATAGTTGTATAGAAAGTAATATATGTGTAGTTGTACAGAAAGTAATATATGTATAGTTGTATAGAAAGTAATATATGTATAGTTGTATAGAAAGTAATATATGTATAGTTGTATAGAAAGTAATATATGTATAGTTGTATATGTATAGTCCAAACCACTGATAGTCCAAACAGTAGTGTTGACAACTTGTAAACAGTTGTGTGGACAGTAGTAGTTCTCTGTGTTTAGTTGTACAGGAAGTAGCACCTACCCGGATTCTTCTCATGGCCGCCACAATCTCCACCCTGCTGCTTGGTCTCGGTACATCCAATGTGCCGATATACTGCAACCAAACAACGTCTGAATAAATAGTATGCACACAGACAAAACAACCCACTGAAATTCCAGACATATTGAAGATGGTCATATGGTTATTCCAAGAATATTTGTCCAATGATCAAATACCCGAACTAACAGTTTAATTTCTTTTATTCTTTCAAAGGACAGACTTCAATCAGTTTTTGTGTTCATGGAGGTAACATAAAAGTATTTTGTAGTCAAATCTTATTAATAAATAAGTCAGCAATAGCAACCGCTTTTTTCATCAAAGACACAAAACTGTGAACTAAACTATGTAAACAACAATATGAAATCAGCGACAATGCAGTAATGCAATCAAAACCCCACCCACCCTATTCTCAGCCAATCAGAAAACATTTGTCCATTAGTTGGAGTGGCCTTTAACAAGTTCTGTTTGAGGAAACGTACACGCAAAAAATATTGCTTGGTTATCCAAACATAATGTTATGAAATCAACTGCAGTATATTTAGTTTTAGTTGGCTGCCTGTGTGAGGGACTAACTAAGTGTTCTCAGGGTTTTTTAATTACTCACAAATTGAAATTAATAAACATCAAATTCAGGTCATAACAAATCTTCCCGAGGCAAGAGAGTTAACTGACTTTAAAAGTCCAGTTTCACCCTTGCCGAAACTAGGCTGGTATTATGGAGATGCAGAGGAAACTTGACCAACACTTTGATACCATTATGATGACGTCATGCTATTGGTGCAGTTGATTCTGAGGCAGTAATTCAATGGCCATCGGAACATGCATTTCACTTGTTTGTTTGTTTGTTTAGCGTCACACTCAGCAATATTCCAGCCATATGACAGTGGACTATAAATAATTGAGCCTGGGCCAGACAATCCAGTCAGTGAAATAGTGAGCACCAACCTACGCAATTGGGATGCGATGACATGCATCAACCAAGTCAGCGAATCTGACCACTCGATCCCGTTAGTCACCTCTTAAGACAAGCATTGTCTTTTTCTACTGCAAGCAAAATATGGGTTGCGGAATTCTACCGCATTATGCAAATTCATACAGAAATTATACATCAACCATAACATTGTTTACGTCAGAGAAATCACTCATATCTGTTGATTACTTTAGTAGAATCAACAGATTCCAATGATTTCTCTATTACATAATCCACAAAAAACCTGCCCAACGGTATGTTCTATAAACAATCTGATAAAAATGATATTGCCAACAGGGTCGAGTGATGGGAACTGCCTCTGAAGGCTAACACATATCTGTTGCACCTCTCACTACAGCGTGAAACTCCAGTTTTCTCTAGGACCCTGGAACTTTCTTAAATAACCAGTGAAGCACATGCAGCTCTGCGCCGGCGCCGATGGGGGTCAGCCTGACAGACAGTATGGATGGGTCTGTACAACAGCCGCAGCAGGAGAATCAAGGAGGACTTCGGACACTGATGGGTTGTTGCACCAAGACGTGGCACCACACTTGCAGGAAATATCGTTTCCCTTCAGCAAGTTGTATGTGTGGTGAAGTGTGGGTGTGAGTGAATGTTGTTCACGCTGAGGTCAACAATACCCAATCTATGTCACTTCAGAGTGAAAGTCTGGACAAGACTAACCAATGGTTGATAACATGAGCACTAGAGCACATCGTCAGCCAGTCAGCCAGGTTACACACCACGCCTCTACACAGAACAATGATTCAATGACCACAAGACCAAGTCAACAACACTGGGATGAGGCTAAAATAAAATCCTCAAGTTAGCAATGGGGATCTACTCAACGATGAAAAACAAATTAAAGTTGCAATGAGGATCACATCAACAAAGTTGCACTGGAGATGAAATCAACAAAGTTGCACTGGGGATTAAATCAACAAAGTTGCACTGGAGATGAAATCAAAAAAGTTGCACTGGGGATTAAATCAACAAAGTTGCACTGGAGATGAAATCAACAAAGTTGCACTGGAGATGAAATCAACAAAGTTGCACAGGGGATTAAATCAACAAAGTTGCACTTGGGATCAAATCAACAAAGTTGCACTGGAGATGAAATCAACAAAGTTGCACTTGGGATTAAATCAACAAAGTTGAACTGGAGATGAAATCAACAAAGTTGCACTTGGGATTAAATCAACAAAGTTGAACTGGAGAAGAAATCAACAAAGTTGCACTGGAGATTAAATCAACAAAGTTGAAATGAGGATTAAATTAACAACGTTGTACTTAGGATCAAATCCACAAGGTTGCACTGCGGATAAAATAAAAGTTGCTCCGATGATCAAACCCCCAAAGTTCCAATGAGGATGAAGATGAACACAAGTATATACATATTACGAAGTGAATGTTTTCTACAATCAAACTATTGATGACATTGTCCAGTCTCACCCTCATATATTGGGTTTATTCCGAAATATTTCTTCCGGCAGTCAGGAGAGCAGAAAACCTCCGTCCAGCTTCAGCCTCGCCTCACTTAATCCAATCCAATTAATCCTTGTGAGATTGATCACGAGTGTCAAGATGAAGAATTTCACTCTGTGACAGTCGGAGCAATTATATACCAAATATTTTAGATTTCATGTTCAGATAAAATGTCAAAAGCCTTCAATAAATCTCCCCAAAATATTTTCGATCTCCAATTTCCTGATCTCAAAGAAAGGTCAGACAATTATAACTACAGGTTCAAATAACCACAAGTAAAATAATACGAAAATAATAGAATTTGACATTCAATCAAAAGTTTATTAAAAGCATCTTCCCATTTAATTCCCAGACGGCCCTGTTCCCCATTCATCAGGGCCACCAACCCTTCCTCTGCTGTGATGTAAGTCCAAGACAGATGGCACAAGTACTTTTTCACGCAAGAAGACAAAACTTGGCGTAACCCACGCCCTGGCTATATCCCTGTCATTAGGAAAACGGTAGCGGATTCCATCTTGGGAGACTTAATCAATGGTCTTGAATGTTCATCCTTCCTGTGGTGGATTCACCACAGCGTTTATCAATCATAACCTGTCCTACAATCAATGTCTGTTTCTTCCAGATGAAGCTAATCGCCTACTCTAGCTCTGCGGGTAACGTACGCTCGCTTACCCCTGCTCTTTGGCCGAGACTTTGTTAAGAGGATCACATCGGCCATCAGATCATTCCTTGACAAATACCACTGAGCCATTAGGGACCAATCATAAAGAGACGATATAAATCTTGTGTGAAACGTTTTCATTCTTTGTAAAGATTGCAGAATGATTATAACAAATCACCATAAATAATGGCCACATTTTGCCACCGAGAATGATTTTTTCCTCAAACCTTTCAAACAATGACAATTTTTTTAATTTCCACACAGACTTGCATAACGTTGCCTCCACACTTTACACTGTGCATGGAGCAGAAAGATCTATATAAGTCAATAGCTACATTAGCACCTGATATCTCAGCTGACAGTTTCGTTTTCTTACCATTGATTTTGTCTCACATGAGTATAGTCGGGTCACAGTGAGGCAAAATGAAAGTCGGATCAACAAGTCGGCAGTTTTGTTGCCTGACACAGTCACGGGGAGAAAGACGACTCCCCCGACTTATCAATACCCCAGATCAATCCTCATCCATCTCTGACAAAACAGTGATGTCCAAGACGACTCTATGGAATTGAATTGGGTGAGATTATCAACGAGGAAGCTATGAACCTTGGTGTCTGAGACATGCATTGGCGGTGGGTCGCCATAGCTGCACTTGCCGTTGCTGATGTGGCTGTGGCTGTTGCTGAAGGAGGAGATCCTACACTTGATTCCAGGTGGTGGGATTCTCATGAACTGCAGGACTGCAGGACTACAGGACACAGACTGATTCATACGGACTGATAGATATGGACTGATTCACATGGACTGATTCACACGGACTGATTCATACGGACTGATGCACATGGACTGATTCACACGGACTGATTCATATGGACTGATTCACATGGACTGTTTCACATGGACTGATTCACACGGACTGATTCACACGGACTGATTCACATTGACTGATTCACATGGACTGTTTCATACGGACTGATTCACATGGACTGATTCACACGGACTGATTCATATGGACTGATTCATACGGACTGATTCACATGGACTGATTCACATGGACTGTTTCATACAGACTGATTCACATGGACTGATTTACACGGACTGATTCATATGGACTGATTCACATGGACTTATTCACATGGACTGTTTCATACAGACTGATTCACATGGACTGATTCATACAGACTGATTCACACGGACTGATTCATATGGACAGATATACACAGACTTATTCACCAGTGAGTGAGTGAGTGAGTGAGTGAGTGAGTGGTGGAGTGAGTTGGTTGGAGTGAGTGAGTGAGAGAGAGAGTTAGTGGGTATGGAATAAGTGAGTGAGTGAGTGAGTGAGTGTACGAGCATGAGGAACGTCTAATGTGGCCACCTGGTTCAGGCAGTGGAAGGTCACGGCAGTGACAGGCACACGGTACTGTGACACTGGAAGCAAGATTGTAACTGATGCAATGCTCCTGCATTCTACGATGTTGTGCGGCAATTAGCGGCCAGCGACAGGCCGGCGGCATGAGAACAAGACAGAATCAAGGACGTGTCCTGAGTATGACAGGTATTATGGCAGAACCAAATTGAGATGATTGTCCTTGAAGGTCGTCCCGATCTCATGCAATCATAAGGAAGAATAGCGCTAATTGGCTCCAGAAGTAGATTTCATGTCGTGATCACGCCATGCTTTCACCGTGTAATGTAGGTCAACTTGAAGAAGTCCAAGGGTAGGTAACCCCCAGTCTGGTAAGTGTGATTGAACAGGCCGCCACTACAAGGTGACACCTCGAGAGTTGCACATTATCCCTGAAGTGACCTGTTGCCGCAACACACAAACGTCCAGGAACTGTAGCTGACAAAAACATGGAGGGATCAATAAATCTCCACAACTTAGCAGGACACATGTCCCTGTAAAAAACACCTGTCAGTCCCAGTGTAGACCACAT